ACCTTTTTTTTATTAAAGACAATTCTTCAAATCGATTCCTTCAAATTGGCTGAGTTTTTGTTGTAACATTTATTAACCTGGTCTAGTTTTATCATTTTAGATAACAAAACTATATACTGATGCAAAGTTGCACAAACTCTCAAAATACATTTAAACACATTTTAACAATAGATTCATCTTGATTACTTTCTGAATTTACTTTCCCACAGATATAACAAACAGTGGGAGTTGTATCATATCCAACTTTTGTCTGATTAGAAACATTGCTTTCTTTGACTGGTATATGTAATGGTGGCCGTGTAATTGATTCTGATTTTTCAACCATAACAAAATTCTTCTTACTTGTACTTTTGAAGCATTCTATTTGAAGCAACGCACCTATCAAAATCTAGGTTATTTTATTTTTTCCACAAATATTAGACATATGTATATCTTTTGTAATTTTTTTTCTTTTTTGAAACAGATTAGAGTCAAATAAATAGTATTTACATTTTTAAACTTTTGGTTTCGAGGTTTCACAAACTACAAAAATGGGATAGCATCCATGGATATACATACATGCTTGGAATTTTGAGTTTACTCAAAGAGAAAATTCCTGAACGGCCATGCTTTAGATTTAAAATAAAGTAAAATAGAGTGGAATCATCAAGGAATAAAGTAAACAGACATGTGAACACTCTAAATTGTATGGAAATACCAGGAAATCGAGCAGTTTATTCAAATTTTAAAGAGAAAATGAACAAAATAAAAAATAAGCATGAAGCAGACGGATATTTTAAAGATAGGGGAAAGGTTCTGATCTTAACTCAAGTGATCCATAGAGAATATTACATACAAGATTATCTGACCATATTTTGATGAGAATCTCTCAGAGGTCTTCGTTTATTCAAACGCATCTTTGTGTCTTTAAAACTTGTGTGGGCTATAGAGTTTGTCACTCGTACTTTGATGATCTAAATCTCTAAATGTCAATCTGCCACCAAGACAGTTGTCTCCAAGTGGAATTTTTGGCACGAGAAGACAAGTAAAATATCTAAGATATGGTAACATTTTCAATCATATGATACAGTAAACAATCTTAACCAGCAAGAAATAAAATGAACAGATTTTTATAGACAACATTCCAAATTGTGCAAAAATGCCAGGAAACCAATTGACTCATTCAAAACGAAAAGGCTGGTTTTCATAGAAACAGATAGAGAAAGGTTATTTGGCACAAGAAACAAATAAATATTTTGGCAGTGTCAAGTATGCTCAATGTCAAAAACTTCCAAGTACACACCTTTGGATAAGTACGTGCCAACAATAGAGACGGTCATAAACCTAAAACTCGGTTGTTAACCTCAAAATGGCAATATCTCTATTTTCAGCATTTTATTACAATATGAATATTTCAGTTACAAGCATGATAGTCTTGTTTCTAACTCTTGAAACTAACAAACTCCCTGCTCTCTGCGCAACTCAACTCATCAAGAGACAGAGAGACTCGATGCAAAACTGCTTTATTAATACAACCACAAAATTTTAACAACAAGAAGGCATCTAAACTGAACCACCTGTTTGAGGAAATCTTCAGCTATCATAAGTAAATTGCTTCTGATTTCATTCATTTCATGCACCAATGAACTGTGATAATGCCTACTGCTAGATCAAGGCAATATAAGTTAAACTTGTGTATGAGAATGACTATTACAAATAACAATAACAACCTTGCTGAAATCCTAATTTTCTAACAAGAACATTGGTTGATTAAGTTGAAATATGTAAATGAGCGTATGTAAAATCAATCCTAATTGGTTAAAAAGGGTCTTAAAACAGGAGGTTACACATGGTTTTCAAGACGCATCAACAAAGTTTACTAAACAGTTAGACATGTGTAAGACCATCCTTGCTGCAGTATTTGATATATGAATTTAATCATAAATGAGATCCTTTGAAGAAGGATAGTCTGAGAATTTAATCATAAATGAAATCCTTTGAAGAAGGATAGTATGAGACACCTATTCTGAATAATGACCTCTATGCATCAAAACTGTTTGGATATATCTAGTCTCATATGTACCTTGATGACCTCCTTCTTACTTCTATCATGTTTTTTGGCAACATCTCCCCATTTAACTTACTTACGCTATTGATACACTGCATCTTAAAAACCAAGGATTTCAAAATGAACAGGTATATATGACATGCTAGTATATTAGTCTATATAGATGTTCCGGGTTGTTGTATGTTTATCTCAAATGCCCCTCAAACTCTACCTTAACTGTATTTAAAATTGAGAAGGGGTAGTTTTGCTTCAACGCCTAATGAAGCCGCTCCCCCCTCTACCCCCCTCCTTTACATGCATCACCTCTACAAGAGGCGAAGTAAGGAGAATAAGATGCAAGACTTAAACAGGAAGGGAGTTAAAGTATAAAGCCCAAATCTAGTCTTAGACTTGCAGACGACCTACATCAACAACCGAAGGACATGATTCTCCCATTTATCAAAAGTTTTTGGGGTGCCATATCCCCCTGTATTTTTTCTTTGTCAAAATGGCTATAGATATAAAGCATTATGACTGAATATATATTTTATCACTTCCTTAATTTACAGATCTCATATATTCTCTATAGAAGCAGACAACCACAATTCAGGTTTGAACTTTAAAAACCACATTATATTATATGGAAGTTGTTATTTGGGGAGGTGAGATCATTTTATTACCATATACTGATGAAGTATATTTTAAACCATTTTCAACATAAATATTGCTCAAACAGTCCAACACACGACTGCCTCTCACAATTTTCTCACGACACGAGTTGACGTTTTAAAAAATGAGGTTAAGTTATATTTTGCTTAGTGTATGTGAATAAAAACTTTCAGGGATGACTACTCCCCTCATAATCATTTTTCCGAGAGCCTTATTTTTCATATTTTTGTACTCAATTGGGCAAATAAATAGTACGAACGAACTTAAATCCTTAGATGACCATAAGTCTACATGTTCACATATTAGTCAGGCCCGCAGCCAGGATTTGCCAAGGGGGGGGTTCACTTTTTGAAAAATTCTAGGGGGGTTTACTTGTGACAATTTTCGTCCATAAATGGCTAAGATCACTTAAAAAGTGCTCAGAATTGTGAAAGATTTTTGGCAAGGGAGGGGGGGGGGTAGGAGGTTCGCTCGAGCCTATCAAACCCCCCTGGCAAAGGGCCTGCAAGTTTCCTTAAAAACATATACCTTAACTTCCATAAAATTTTTTAAATCTTTTATTAATTTCACACATTAATCATGCCTTATCACGTTACTAGAGAACACACCTACTTTAATGCATGTATAAACTTGAAAAATAATAAGGTCAACAAAATTTGACCTTTATACAATATGTACTTTAACCTGAATAAATATTACAAAACTATGATAACATATTAATAACAAGTTCTGAGAATTGTCCTTAAGAACATCATGACTTGTCTTCGAAGGTAGAAAGAAATTGAACTTTACTTCCTTTCTGAGTGACACCTTTTAAAAGCTCAGTCTCACTCAGTTTCACTATATAGTTCACATTTCTGATAAACCATATTTTCTTGAAGCAACATCACAAATATGAAATCTTCAAACTTTAGGTATTCAAGATTGTATAATTGTTCATGAGGCGTATATTTTGGTTAGAAGGTATGATACTGCATGGGTAAATGTCAGTTGATATTTGAAATCCAAGATGTTGTAGAAGTGATGTATAAATGGAACGGAGGAGCAAAAGGGCTTAATGGAAGACTAAATTTGAAGAAAAAGAGGAGTTAGACTTGACATTTCTAATAAAGTCCCAAGAGTGAGTGAATAACTAACCCTTGGCTTAGTTAATACAGGGTGTCTCAAAAAATGTACCAAAAAGTATAACAACAGTACAAATAAACCAATCAATCTTTTCAGCTGCATGCAAAAAAAGTCAGAAACTTTTGATTGGTTTATCTGCGCTGTTAACATATTTTTGGGTACATTGTTTGAGACACCCTATAAATTACTTGATATTTTACAATGATACCATTTCTCCACATGTATGCATTAACCACCACACAAGTGAAAATTCTTCGAATTCTATCAATAAACACAACAAAAATAACACCAAGCAATTTCAATATGGTAGAAAATTGCAAACAGTCAATTACTCCCTTATATACTGAGAATAAGATTTATAATGGTAAAGATTGGGTCAGATCAGGGTCAACTCGACCTGAGATAAGCCAAGTACTCAATAATCTAATTTTGTAATGTATGGGTCCAATGTTTAATCCAAAGTGGTTTAAGACTTATTAGAACATCGATCATATTAGAGTTATGATCATGCAATACTGAAATAAACCAGAAAATATGCTGGGCACATAATGAATTGCTATATAAATGTCTATATAAATGTGCTACGCAGCCTTTAGGTAAATTAATAAAACATATTTTATGAGACTTCTCATGCAGTTGAATCCAGATGCATTTTTGATGTTGCATTTTGGAAAAGCCCAATTGAGATAAATTCTAGCTTGAGCATACAACAATACTACACATATCTACCCCTGAGGTGCAAAGACTAGTTACGATTACTTTTAAAGAAGTTAAATCAAACGATTGAAAACGGTATAGCATATCGTGACAAACTAAAATAAAGTCCTCCCATAGAAGGAGAAAACTGAAGTCACACCGGGTCAAAAATCTCTATAATTTTAGAGTTTATTGTTACCATTAAACCGTATAATAGAAGTATTGTTCCTTTTGAGACAAACTTTCTCAAGGCACATGAATGACTCAAACTATTTATAGCAATAACCCACTAAAAGTATCGCCCATAATAAAACACTTTTACTTTTCTCAAGAGCTTATGAAATGAAGTATCACATCTCTGTAATGTTGACAAATGTATTGTGCATTAATCAAAATAACCAGGTTCCTTTTTCAAAAATACTAGGGAAAGTACAAAGAATATTTGTCAATTTTAACACTACTATAAAAATTTATATCTACTTACTCAGTCACATCAAATGCTTTCTTAGAGGATCCTCCCATACAAGTTACATCAACTGCAAGAGGCTTAGGTTCAGCATTCTCCTTAGCAATATGTTTATCCTTAACATCCATAGCATTTGCAATATCCGTTTTTGAGTTTGGTATATCCATTGCCAATTTATCATCAGTTACAATAATACTAGGGGTCATAATACCCTGACCTTGGGGTACATTTTCTATTTTTGACCTTTTCAGATGAGGCTCGTGGGCATATTTACCATCGATTAGTACCACTTTATCATCGACTATATTGATATCTTTTTGTGGATTAAGAGGTTCATTGTGACATACTTTAGACGTTGTGACATCTTTTATGATCACCTTGGTAACTCCTGCATTATTTATGATCTCTGGGTTAATATTTTCTCCAGGGTCATTTTTTACGCTAACAACTGATACATGTTTTTCATTCATTTTGCTGCTCTTCTTTTTCCTACGATATGAATTTCGTCGTTTGAAGGATCCACCATCAAGTAAATCTCCTCCTAATAATGGGTTCTTTGGTTTATTTTTAATGAATGGCCCTTCTGTTACAGCATTTGTTGAATCAATAGGCGTAGCATCTGGGTCAATCACTATATCTGAGACAACATTAGATGGTGATTCCCCATTAGCTTCTTCACAAATTTCACCTTCACTTGGGCTACTTATATTTTGATTGATGGTTGGATATTCTGTATCAATACTTGAAGTACCAGAATTTATAATCCCTGTATCTGTCTCTTGGTTTCCTTGGTACGTTCCTGTTGCATCTGAATCATTATCATATTGAATGATAACATCACATTTTGGGTAAACAACTTCAGTGGGATCTGACGGAATGTCAGGTTCGCCAGTATATTCCTCAACTACAACATTTGGTACATCTATACCACCAACAGCTGGAACAGATTCAGTTGAAACAGTTTTATCTCCTGGGTCAATATCAATTCCTTCAGCAGTAATTTCAGGTATTTCAACTGTGTTGTTTTCTATATAGGTATCCCTTGACTCAGCTATAGCTTTATCCTCTTTTGAACAGTTTTCTTCATGTGTACTCACAGATGCAGGGGTAATGGGAGGTTTATCTCCTGGTTCAAGGTCAATTTCTTCAACAGTAATTTCAGGTATTTCAACTGTGTTGTTTTCTCTATAGGTATCCCTTGACTCAGCTATATCTGTCTCTTTATCCTCTTTGGGTTCACCCATAGAGTCAATGGCAAGTTTATCCTCAAGGTCAATTTTTTCAACCGTAATTTCAGGTATTTCAACTGTATTATTTTTTATATCCATCCATTCTACATTACTCATATGTACTGTGATGTCTGACAGAGATAAACCCCGTTCAGTTTTGGGACCTTCTAGATTCAAACAATATGTATCACATGCTACTGTAAGAACTGGTAAAGCTTCATTCTCAAACTCAACAACTGTATCTTCTGTTATATCCAACGTTTTATCTTTATATAAATCCTGAATTTCATCATCAGAGTTTTGAATCGTACTCTTTTTAACGGGAAGTTGTTTATTTATCTTCACATCATTTTGTAATTTACCACTTTCTAAATCAGCCACGTCTTCACTTGGTACACTAATACTCCCTGCTTGACTTTTGATCGGGATATCCTTACTTAATTTGTCGTAAGTATGTAAGGTGGAGTCAACTTGATTGGTTTTATCATCAACTTTTTTATCGGCCATTTTTTATGACTGCTCCTCCTACATTAAGTTATAAATCTTTGCTATATCATATTTTGTTTGATTAAGCACTTGTGTTCTTTTGAAGAGTATGCACAGATATTCGATCCCTTGATTTTTTGAACAGTTACAATACTTGTATATGCGACCACATTTAAATATAAACAACCAACAGCAACCAACAGCCAAGTAATATCCTATAAAGTACCAGGTACTTTTGGTTCTCGGGGCATTTGAACAGTTTCTTTTGAGTTTTATGTCTTATTAATTCAACCTCCTTTCACTGGTTCCCTTTGTCCAACTGAACAAACATCTTTTACTAATGCCATAAATTAAAACTTTTCCATTTGTAGGTTAACCATTGCTGTTGGTTAAACCAATTGTTGATACACAAAGTCGACCATTGTCATTGAGAAAATGAAACTGCACCCTACCTGTACATGATTTAAAATTGCCTCTCAAAATAGCTAGCCAGCAATAACCTTAAAACTCAGTTCAGTTACACATTAAATCTGCCTTACTATTATCAAGGTGACTTCTGGCAGGTATAGCGTAGACGACAACCTAATCACATCTAAATCAAATCTCCTTGTTATATGTCAAATCTACTGGTTATCCTGTTATTTGTGTGTTTAAGATATGTCTTAATTGTCCTGCTTTTAACATTTCCGCATCTGTTCATGTTATTTTGCAGCCAATCCCGTTTGAACTGCTCACATGTACTCTATATCTGAATGACGATCTTCACTCCCTATGATGTCACGACCCCTTCATTCAAAGAACACACTCGAGAAGTTCTCAATACAGACACGTCCCTTCAATTACAAATATCAATTCAAAACAATTCACATGTCGTGATAAACAGAATTATTTACTAACTTTATAAACTTGTTATTCAAAGTTTGTAATCAATACCACACTGTAAATTATACCTTTTTATATAGTAAACACATGATTTTGCATACGTTTAAAATAGTTTGGTTTGTATTAACGGAAAGTTTCAGTACACTGTGACATATACCCACCCGCCCTAAATATGTTATATTTCTAAATCAAGCATTGATTTTAAGATTTCTTAATCAAATCAACTATGAAGGTTGATTTTTTAGCAATTCTCTCAAGTCCAAGACAATGACTTTTCAGTTCCTAACTTTATTCCTTGAATTTTCCACTCTTATTGGTTATTCATAAGGAAAAATATGATAACCGTGACATTTTCAACAAGAGACACGAATACAGACATCAATTGTAAGTACTAGTAACACCTGAAAGAGATTCCACAATTGTCATGAGTTTGTTTGATAAACATTAAAATATATATCATAAAATACAACACACAGGTGTGAAGTTAACAATCTAAATTGTATACAAATGCCAGAAATTAAGTTGTCTATTCAAATCTTAGACAAAAATTGAACGAAATAAATAAATAACAAAGAAATCATTTGAACAGGTAATACAAATTCTACTTCAAATAAATCTGAACATTGAACACAGAATTTCTTTATAGCTAGGTACAACACAAGAGGCACTATCAATGAAATATGACCATGTCAGATTTTCAAACTTCAATTGTATCACCAATAAGAAACGAGAGATTAATATGGAAAAATCTCATAACCTAATTGCACTAAACACAAGTATAACACTTCGTTATGGATACAAAACAGAATGAAAATTCTGATGCCAAATGCCATTTAGAAAAAAAGAAGGCTACAACAATAGGCCGTTGCTTCGTGGCGGTGACTTATTAATTAAACGTAAGGCATGTGATCAATATTCTTTATTACAAAATTGACTTTTCAAGCAGATTGCTATAACCCTTTTTATGAGAAAGGCCATGGAATAAGCATGAAAATAACTAATTTTAAACATGGGCCATCTATAAGAGGGCTGAACAAGGAGCTCAAATACAAGCTTTATACAATTTCATATACAGCCACAAGAAATGTCTGATATTGAGTTGAACCCTTCATTTAGTTGATCCTGTTTTCTATTGGATGTACAACTATATAATCCAGCACCATGTCTTATATAATGCCTCTACTTTCCATGCTAATTTCACCATTTTTCTCTTTAAAATCAATCACTGTGGAGAAAAAGTTTTCTCATGCGTATCAAGGGGTCACATTTGCTTTAAGTACCTTCAGTGAAGAAGAAGTCTTGCTTCAAGACACTGGTCCTTGGACTATATACTCTTACAACTATGTTGCTTAGATAGGAGTCAGGTCCACATTGAAGCAAAACTAGTACAGATGTTAAGGAAATAATTGTCAAGGTAGAACTCGAAAATAAATCTTATTTGACATTGGAGGAGATGACTAAGGTCAATCCTTTGAATTGAGAGCTGCGTGTAAATGCAAAACCTCATCCTCGTTTCTAAGAATTAGGAACCACTTGTAAATAGGTATGGTTCTTGGTTGCAATCAATATTTCAAATATACAACAACGCCATCTTTAAATAGTCTCAGTAATTTTCACCATTTAATGACTGTTTCCAATGATTCTGAACTTGAGATTGCAAAATTGTAAATACCGTATTCTCTGTAATTACCGCCCACTCTCTAATAAGCGCCCACCCCGCTTCATTAAGTTCAAGAAACATCGAGGAATCAACAAGAATTGAAGAATATATCAGGAAAAAAATATTTCTCAAAATCCAGGAGCGGGCGATAATAGAGTACTTACCCTAAAACTGCTGTAAACACGACGCGTTTTGTAATTCTATGCATCCTCTCGATACATATCTATCGATGGGTGCTTCCCACACCATACCATGCTAATATTGTCTCCAAATAGTCCATAATGAATGAAGGAATTGTTCTTTATCGGCATTCAGAAATTTCAAAAGCTACTGCGCAGATGTTCTGCGCATGTCAAGGTCGTGAACTTTCTGGTTTCTTTTTAATGTTTCTCGACTTTTACACGACTTTTGCACGAATAATGATGATCTCTCATCAAATTAGAAATAATGTATAACTTTAGATCGATATCCAGCAGTCTCTAGTGGAAATATTGAAGGTAATCGGCAATAATGACAAAGTGGGCGTGCCGGAAATAAATTAGACATAGACGGGTCTTCAACCACTGTCAATATTGTCTAAGCGATCTTTACCGTATTCTCTCCAATAACAGCACTTGTCATATTATTATAAAAATATGTTGAAGAAAATGCATTCTTGTCAAGAAAAATTGCCATACATGAAATTCCTCGGGATTTCTGATTTCTTTCATACATGGGCGCTTATTAGAATGGTCTAAATAATGTATTTTCAATTTTCTAAACGCCCTGGGCGCTAATTACAGAGAATACGGTATGTAAATATAAAAACATTTTTGAAAATCTTATATTTCCAAAGTATAAAATGTCAAGACAAGGTTTTGAAGCAAGGCACAAAATCAATCATTTTTTAAGAAATATATATGCATATATTGACAAAAATATACCTTTTTAGGTACTATAAAAAATGAAAGAATATTTATTGAGCAAAAAGAGCGTAGTAATTTCACTTTCTCTGTTCTGATTGGATTAACTAATTTGCACGATTATGAGACTATGCTAGGGTGATTTATTAGATTAGCGTGTTTTAATTGATTTATGGCAAATTGTTCGTTGAACGCTTGACTACAAATCGGCGATATTAAGCTAGTGTTTTATAGCCTACAGTTTCCTCTTAATCTAATATCGAATCTAGGGAAATCATCTCCCTGAAGTTAGTAGATTTTTACAACACTATATTTTATATGTAAGACATATAAAAAGCTGTTTTCCATTTTATTTTTCTCATGGCTTGCTCATTCTATTGACCAGGACATGGTTTCAATCAGTCCAAAGCTAAAAGTAAAACTCTGAAGATATTTAGCACTTTTTAAGAGCCACAGAGTCAAACTCTAGCCACAAAGGGGAAAAGGGTAACCAATAGAAGACCTTGACTGAAATCACTTTAGAAACAATTTCAGATTATACCACTCAGCATATCAGTTCCTAATAGCCACGAATCGGGTATCAACAAAGCATGTAATATTTCATAATGATAATCTCTATGTAGTTCTGAACCTTTGATTGATATGCAACAATGAAAATAGTCCCATGATGGCCATGTTTTACAACTCAAAATAAAATAGAAAAGATTAGAATTATCGAACAGTAAACTAACTGGGCATGAAGTTAACGCTCTGAATAGTATTGAAATGCCAGAAAATCTGTCGCTTTATTCAAATTTTAGAGAGAAATGGAGTGAAATAACCATGAGCAGACGGATGGATATATCTGACCATCCATGGAACTATATACAGGAACTCTCCCCCATTTGAGTTCACGTCACATATATATAGAACAGTTAATTGCAAAAAATCAATTGCTAGTGTTTTCAATGCCATTGAGTGTCAAACAAATCGTTCAGTCCAATGATTAATTGCCAGTATTTTTATAATAATAGAACATAATCTCTATAATGAGATCCAGGGGTTCCTAAGCTTTGCAAGAATTCTATACCTTTAGAGAGTTTAATCCAATATAAGTTGATGATTGTTCTATTAAGCCCTTGTATTTCTCGCCACCACCCTTTCTCATTATGTCTGTCTTGAAATGCTGTATTTAATATATTGAAACCTGCAAAGTGAAACACCTCTAATAGTGGAACACTTTTAATAGTCCAAAGACTAACTGACTTAATGTAAATGAACCTCTTGTCTAAGTAGAACAGCTCCCAAGTAGAACACTTTTCAGAGGTACCACTGGTGTTCCACTTAGACAGGTTTTACTGTATCATAAGTACAGATAGTAGAGCTGGCATCGAATAGGATTTTAATGTCGACATGTCGGAGCTCTCGATCGACAACAATATCGACATTGTCGGGTCCAATGATATTCAAAACAAAAAAGAAAATTTGAAAATGTAGGCAGTAAAACTTCACTAAAATACACCATACAGCAGGTAGTAACAAAGATTTTAATTCATAGAGAAATAGCTTATTATGTTGTGAGTTCTGACTGTCGATCAAGAGGCGTTGTGTCGACATGGGTGTCGCAGAGAGCATTCGACTGACAATCGACCATTCCGACATTTGATGCCAGCTCTAAAGGTAATACGGTTCAATGAAATATTCAGAAAAAAACCATAATGAGGAAGTACAGTTACCCAAC